CCCCCAAGCTAGGGAACCCATTCTGGTGGTGCCAGCAAAGAAGCCACATTGTGTGTGGGCTCAGTTTTGTCAACCAAGTCTGTGTATGTAAAGTACTGGGATCGGATGAAAAAGAATGCTTATATACAGGGGCTACCTTTAAACATGGGGTGTTCTAAGTGAGACGTCCACCAGGCTGAACAATACAGTGACCAGTCTAAGTAGCTACTGCAACCACCTTCAAGTTTAATCGTAATGAGGACTCATCGATATCGATTTGATGGGGTGAAGCGTGAATAGCACCTCCCACTAAACCAAAAAATTGAAGGTTCCTTTTGCTATTAGGTTGGGGATCATCGCTACTAGGATGGAGGCCATTCCTATTGGCTTCCTTTTGCTATTAGGTTGGGGGCCATCGCTACCAGGCTGGAGGCCATTCCTATTAGGCTCCTTTTGCTATTGGAAAAGAATGCATTGTATGCAGTTGGTAAGCTTATCCAGTATGTATATCGAAGAGTGTGATATTCAAAGCTACTGGCGAGGTTTCAAGTGCGCCTTGATTGCCACATCCGGAAGTTCTTGAAATCGCACTATTTCAGCGATGAAGCATGCAAGCGGGCTGCGCTGGAATATGAGAGCAAGTGCCAGAGCTTGCTGAACAGGTTTGATATCTTGAAGGGCAAGGGCAAGGCGCTGCAAAATCCAAAGTGACCGCATAGTTTTTCTTTGGCATATATAATAGTATTTGTATAATAATATATATATGCATAGGTATATATATATACATACATAAAACTCAATGGTTTCAATGAAAGCATCTTTCCCAAGCTTTCCTTCTTCTAATCCAATGTTTTTTGTGTCGTCCCGCAAGGTATCTGACAGAGCGGAGTTCATGGAAGGTTATGGGTTTTCCACAGCGGGCACGCTGTCCAAGCAAAAGCAAGGCATGATGCTTTCAATGTCAGAGGGCAAAATCCGTAAAGTGGAGCAGCACATCCTGAGTGCGATTGATTGGTCAGGAGTGCTGAGCGAGCAAAGCAAAGTGGAAGTGGACGCAACTTTGGGAATGTTCAAGGCAAGTTTTGACATTGGTGAAGAGGTCATGACCAAGCGATTCGAGACAGTGAAGGCTATGCATGAGTGGCTGCTTAGCATGATGCACTCCCTCAAGAGCGGGAACGTTGCTCAAACCATTCGGAAAGTTCAGCAAGCAGTGAAATCCGATGTTGCCTTGGACAAAGCAGCCGACAAACTGCTGGTGGCGGGCAACGCAACGCTGGGTGAGGCAGTTGAGCCTGTGGCTGGCAAGGTGCCAGATGTTGAAGATATCACCGGTGATTTCCTGGCTTTGCATGCTCCGAAGCAGGCGAAGTTACCAGATGCAACAATTTGCCTTCACAAGGGTAGCTTGGCAACACTGGCCTCCATGGCATCATCCAACCAATTGATCTCAGCCCTTTTGCTGGGCAAGGATGTATGGAATGGCAAGTTCCATGCAATTCAAATGATTATGACCACAGGACCTGTTGAGAATCTTTTGGAACATGAACGTGTCCTCGCTCGCTGCAAAACGGGTTCATTGGTCCCATGCGGGGCTGTGCTTGTTGGACCATCCGACTATCCAGCCAAACATTCTGAGATGGTACAAGCATTGGTGAAAAACTTGGCAGACAGCTGCACTTCTCCAATCCTTGTGGCAATTGACTACTCACGAATTGCCAGCGGTGACTGCTATGCATGGGAATTTTGTGGTGAACAAAAGGAGATGCGTTCTGTTGGCATCAGCTGGGTGACTCAGTCCAAAGACAGAACGCAAAGACTGAACTACAACCTGTGCTGGATTGATGACGTTGGGAGTTCTCATGTGGAGAATGCAACCAAACAGATTGTCACTGCAGTCATCAGTAAAGTCTGTGGACAAGGAAGCAGTTCTCAAGCACCGGACCCTGCTAAGCAACCCTACCAGAAGCTTTTGGTACCAGCAGATGGTTTTTGCGGATGGCATGCGCTCATCGCATGCAAGGCTGAAAACTGTTTTGTTTTGAAAGCAGGTTCACTTTTTCTTTTGTATTCACTATGGTTACGTGTGGGGATGTTCTAAGTGACTCAACACTGGAGGATGTCAGGAGTTAGATGCTGCCATATATGTCATTCTATATATATATAATTTACAAATTGAATATTCCCTGCAGGATATTGATAAATTCAAGAAGATCAACCGCAAGCCTTCTGGCTACGCATCTCACCTCAAAATGGTCAAGAATGAAGAGGAAGCAGCGCATGAACTTCACCTTGAGGTCTGTGAGACGGCCCTGCAAGTCTGTGATGAAGTGTGGCACGGGGCTGTCTATGCTGCTTTTGGCAACCCAAGTTTTTCACCAGCTGATCTTGGATGGATATCAGAAGTGCTCAATGTTACCATTCGCTGCACTTGTTCTGCAGAGGCTCGTTCTATCCGAACGGGTCTATTGTAGTACCAAACCACACTCAATATGGTGAAAACAAGAACTTACAAACAGTGCCACATATGCATCACATATAGATAGATAGATATATATATATATATACACCAACATACACACATACGCCAGTACATGCACTTGAACTTGCCAGGAACAATGTTCATGAACGATTGCCCAATCTGCAGGTTGGACTCCATGATGGAAAAGCTTTGGATGCTGTCTATGGTTCTGGTGAACCTTGTGTTCACTTGATGTTTGCCTTTGACAAGGCAGCAGCTGATCCCAAGCACAAATTTGGACACTGGAGTGTGCTTATACCAGCCGAGGGTTCAGGGAAGCAAACCATCATGCTACCTGCCAAAGTTTCTTGCCAGGAACTACTCGTTCTCGTTTTAGTTTTTTGGTGTATATATTCAATCTCAAGCGTTCCAAATATATTTACATACTGTATGTAGGTGCATGTATACATATGATCATATATGTAAACACGTAGGTGTTGTCTTTTGCAGCAAGCCTTCAGTACTTTACCCAGTCAGGTATCCCCTCAGCACTCCGCCAAGAGCAAGGAGATACTTCAAGTGATGGGCATTGATTTTGTGAAGAGCATTCCAGACCAAATAGAGAGTACAGAAGCAGAGACATCCATCGAGCAAACATCACTTGATGAGTTCTGCCGCTTTTCACCTTTCAAGAACCAGGCAGCACCAGCCAAAAAAGCATCACCTGCAGAAAAGACACCTTCAAGAAATTGTACGTTGTCAGAACTGTCAGCTTGCGTATTCACAGAGCGGAACAAAGCGCCAGCAGCCAAGCCTTTCCAAGACACGAAAAGCCAATGCACTTTGGGGTTCCAGACAAGAACAAAAAATTGCCACATTCTTTTTCAATGTACATGCCGGAAGGCAATCAGCCACCAGCTGAAGCACCAGAGCAAACAACATTGAACAGCGAGGAGCATACTATGCAGGTAATGGCAGACCAGCACGAAGACATGCCAGGAGCTAGTGAGGTCAAGCACTTAGAACATGACCAG